GCGGGGGAAGGGAGAATAAACTAGAAACTAATGAGACTGGTTACTAGTGGGTTTAGTGTGGAAAGTAAGGATTGGAAATGAGGTATTCAGGACAAGTGACCCCTCTTTCAGTAAACATTTTTGTCTAGCTCTTGACTCAGAGCCATAGTAATGTTTCTAATACTCCAAAAATAATTAAAATCAACCATGTTCAGGGAACTCGAAGTACAAAGTAATGAATGAACCTGCCTATATTACAGATGAGTGACAGTACCACACTGAAGGGGAATAGGAGAGAAAACTAGCATACAGCCAGCAACTTTGGAAAACAGGATTTGACTCTATATAAACAAAAGTTGGGAAAGACTAGACTGAACCCTGTGGTGTTGAAGTTGGAGATGTTAGGAACTCATGGTTTGTATATGTACAGGTGCATAGAGAAATAGAGATAGAATAGATATACACCTTTCCTAGTTTTGTCTATTGAGAGGAGGGTCTAAAAGTAAAGACCCCCACCCCCCACCCCACCCCGCAGCAGTGAGCACACCAAGTATTGAGATACTGGTTTCTAAATACCATTATCCTATAAAGGGTACTGGTTCTCCTAGGGGAAATAGTTGATTCCAGGGCTGGAGGAGGGAAATTCTAAAACAAACCCAGAACATCTGTGATGCCAAAAAAGTAAGAGAGTGCTCGTAAAATCACGGGGATGGAAAGGGGAACATGAAAAAGGACTCCAGAGCCAATTTAATTCTTCCGATTGCCAAATCTGGAACGATTTGAAGAAACAACTCATGCTAGTAATGGATCATAAACCATGGAATAGACATCAATAATGAGGGGAAGAGGTAGCTTTTCTTTATGGTAGAATACCAACTAGAGCTAGAAGGCATGATGTGAACAGAAGATCCTCTAAAACAGAGTAACTGTTAAAGATAGGAATCCTTGATGCTAAATGTAGTGGGCAAAAGCATGACGAGAAACAGGATATGTACACAGGCTCAGTGTATCCCCACAAGATCTCACCAAAGGAAAAATACTAACTTGATGGCTGGCCAACTTGACGCCACCTTCATCAAATGGTCAATAAGATGTGAGGACATCGTGTACCAACTGATGGGAGGCGCTGAGAAGGGCACAGTTCTGCGAGATTCTTGCCAAAAATGTATAACCTCAACCCAATCATTAGGAAACCTCAGACAAATCCAAATTGAGGAACGTTCTACAAAATAAGTGACCAGTAACTCTTCCAAAATATCAAGGTCATGAAAGATAAAAGAATGAGAAACCGTCACAGGTTGAAGGAGACCAGGAAACATGACCACTGAATTCAGTGTCGGAGGCTGGGTGGACCCCGGAGGGTTCTGACGGAGGAGGGGTGCACAGAGGGGTTCTCTGCTACTAGCATGATTCTGTTTCATAACCTGAACAGGGGTTACGTGGAAATTTGCCTGACAGTTTTGAAACTACACTTCTGTGTTTTCTGTACTTCTTGCAAATAAGATTTTGTCTCATGAAACAAAAATGCTGCTTTATGAGCTGCCCTTAAGACTTAAATGTGTGATGTTTACCTGGTCCCCTTCAACTGGGTTGAATTGTGCCCACCCCCCAGAGCATATGCTGAAGTCTCTGCACCTCAGAATTTGTCTTTATCTGGAAATAGGACTGTTACTGGTCTAATCAGTTAAGATGAAGTCGGTATGACCGGTGTCCTTAGAAGAAGACAGTAGCCATTCGAAGACAGAGACACATGAGGAGAAGACCGCGTGACGATGAGGGCGGAGATGGGAGTCACGCAGCCACAAACCTCAGCCTCAAATGCCTAAGACTGCCACCAAACCACCGGAAGCCAGGATGAGGCAAAGAAGGATTCTTGTCCAGGTTTCAGAGGGAGCACAGCCCTGCTGACATCTTGACTTGGAGCTGGTCTAGCCTCCAGAACTGTGAGAGAGTTGAGTTTCTTTTTTAAGCCACCCAGCGTGTGGCCCTTTGTTACAGGACACATCCAGATGCCATTCGGAATGTGAGATATTCGTACGTGGAGATTTCATGAAAGATCATAGATACAACACATAGGTCTTTCTCGATATGACATTAAAGATAGAATTTTCATCATTACCCCAGAATTCAGCTTAAAATTGAAGCGGGTGTCCAAGGTGTAGAGGTGTGATTTGAGGAGTGGGACAATGAGATCCAAGTGGGGACAGTGCCCAAGTTCTAGAAATGACAGTGGGTGGCAGCTGACCAAGAGGGCTGCGTTTGGGGGCTGGGCTCCCGAAATCGTTTAAGAGAACCTGAGCGTTGCTAGCGAGCATTGAGGACAGAGTGAAGGCCCCTAGCTGGAGGGAGAGCCA